TTGTTCGGCTTGTTGTTTTTCTAATCAGGAAAGATTTTTTTCATTAACTAGCAAAACCTCTTTTCGAGGTAGCAAATAATTTGCTACAAATCCCCGTCGTAATTCTTTTATTTGGTATTTTTCTCCTCACCTGTTTTTATGCAGGAGGATAACTTTTTCTTGCTTTTTCATTGATTTATAATTTTTTGGTTGGTCGTTTTCGTAATTTGTACTGGTCTACTGAGGGCTGAAAAAAATTACCCACAATACTTACTAGCAAAAGAGCAACAATGAGGGTTATGGCAGCAATGAGAGGAACTTGTCAACTACCCAGGGAAAAAATTTTCATTCGGTACCAAGCAACTTTTGACTTTCCTTCACCTCATTCCAAACCAGGAAACATAACAATGCTTATAATTGTTGCAATAATAGTAAACAAAATTCCTCCTAATCACCATTTTATTCAAAAACTTTTATTAGCGGCTACCTCTGCTTGTCATTGGTCATAACACCAAGCACATTGGGCTCAACTTTCGGAAGCATGATTACTGCTATAATGTCCGCCATAGCCTCCCGCTTGATAATCACCAAAATTCCTACCACCATAAGCACCTTTAGTATAACCGGAACTTTGACCTTTAGAACTAGTATAAATCGGTTCGCCTTCATAGATTGGTGTGCGGCAAGTCTGGCAACTATTTATTATTCTTCTTTCTTGACTGTTTAACATATTATTTAACGAATTATTTTTGTGGTTCTTCGCTTTGTTCTACTATCACATAAGGCAACAGAGCCATCTGACGGGCTCGTTTGATAGCTCGGGTCACATTGCGTTGAGTTTTGGCTACTAACTGGGTGTACTGGTGATGATTAATTCGTCCTTGCCGATTAATAAACTTGCGCAGAGTAACAACATCCTTGTAATCAACATAGGCAATCCCTTGGTTCAAAAAATAATCGGTTTTCGAACTAATTATTATTTTCTTTTTCTTCCCCTTTCCTTTGTCTAAATTACTTCCCACCATTTTTTTAACTTATTTCTTGTTCTTCGGATCGTGGCTTGAACATTTTTGGCTTGCTAAAATCAATTTTCTCAACATCTTTGACCACCCAGGTTAAATTATCGAGGGGACTGAAAATGTTGACCGAATCATT